GTGAGCCATAACAGTATCAGGACATTTTTCCAGCCCACCGGCTACGAGTTTGACAGCCCTGCTTCTAGATAAAATGACTCTTAAGCTAACATGGTGTTCAACTGATTAACACTTCTCAGACTTATGGGTAGCACAAAATGAAAATAGGGAAATGGGTGAGTTTTGTATAAGTTAAAATATTAAATAAAATAATTTGGGGCATACAGAGTTGCATTATAAAGTCAAATACACTGGCATGCTATGAAAGAGCAAGTTAGTGATCCAAATGTTTAACCAAAACAAGGGGGAATTTTGCTATAAATCCTTACTTACTTAGCCATGGAAATCACTGAATAGTTATCAGATAGTAACATGGAGGTGGGATGGAGATAAGGTAGGAACTAGATGTAGTTATAGGCTGGAAAGTGTGAAATTCTTAGTTGAGTCATTAATTAACTAATGGATCTGGGATATCTTCCAAAACAGAAGTGGCATTTTTTCCGGGTTTAAACTGAACTTTGAGGGGCATCCCAGTAGCTGCACTATAAAAATTAAACTGTGGGATCAGGTTAAAAGGTAAGTGATTAGGTTTACATTTAATTGGATTATACTTCAGTATTTAATAAATTTTCCCTCCTTCAATATTTTTAAAATACCATAATTTGGTAATAATTTTTGGAAGTCTTGGAGATGCACATGGAAAGTCTACAGAAATGAAGAATATTTTAGGATTACGATTGTGATTATTTTGCAATAAGAGCCAGTCTTTGGACCTATTAAATCCAGGCACAGAGTATCTCTGAGAATAGAAAAGTAGGCTTGGAAGACTACATCTTTCAGGCAACAAGGCAAAAGCGACAAAGGCAACTATTTAGTTCAACATATCTGGAGGGCAACTGGTTAAAGAAGATTAAAATACAACAATCGTGGCACTATTTTCATATTATGATAGAACTTTCTGGTTCTACATTCCTTTTCACAAACAAGGTCAAGTGATACGAAGATTTTAGGTGAATGTAAGAAAAGATCAAACACTTTTTCAGTATTTGTTATCATATTTGTCAAGGAACCTGGGCCAAATGTATCCAATTTTCATGGGAAATGGATAGACAGCCTGTCTTGTTAGTCCTGTTGTTACTTTTAAGAAGGATGTTTCCAAAAATACATGCATGGTTCCACCATCAAAGACGAAACTCTTGTGAGGTTTTTGCAAGTAATGCCATGACAGCACAATAAGGTAGCCACAGGAAACAGTAATATATACATTTGTCTGTATTGTGTATATACAGTAAAAAGAAGAGGCCCATCTGTACTTATTGTTGTTGTCGTCATCATCATCATCATCACCATTGTCAGCATCATTATTTATCATCCTCCCACTGTAATTGTTTTTAGTATTGATGGGTTTGCTGCTATGAATGCTGTCAAAACTCAGGTTTATTTAGGGCAGCAATCTTCAAGCCACATCCTTCAGAAAAGCCTTCCAACATGCTGAGATGAGTCCTTGCGATAGTGGATTGAGACCTGAGACTTTGATTTATAGAATGGATATAAATTATTATATATGTCCTTGTCTCTTTGCTTAAATATTTGGGGGTCTATTAGTATATGACAGATACAGTGTAAATATTCTGAATGAACTGGTGTCCCTATTAAGCCAGCCCAACCAGAAAGCTGCATACGTGAAAATTCATGTTTAAAAACTCTACAGTGTAATTCCTGGTTATACATTGAGTCCAATCAACATTTTTCTGAGATAGAAAATAAATTACTAGCACAGATGAGGTATAATACAAGATAAATTCCTTATGCTGTTTTTCATAAGTATATAATAATCATGTGTAGAAAATATCAAGAGTACTGACAAAGCTTTCTGCATTTTTTTCCTATGTTCCTGGCTCAGCAAATAAATTGGTAATTCACATTATCCACAATACCTGTACTTAAAAGTATTGGACTGGAAGACTCAGATTCAAGTCTCCTCTATCCATGAAGGTTCACTGAGTCAGGCAGGGTCTTTCAGTCAATATAAGCATGTATATGACTAAGCAGGTAGGCAGGCAGGTAAGTAGATACAGAGAATCAGGCAAAGAGACAGATAATTTTTTTCCTTTAACAAGAAACTCATTCAGAAAGTCAGCTATTACTGATGAGGTAAAATCTAGGATTGTGCTATGTACATTTATAGCAAGCAAAATCACTTGTTCATGTAGTAATAAGATAGAAGGATGAAATGGCACATTCCCTCATTCTAAAATTGTGCATTCTAAAACTCAAATAAAGGTAAATTGAATCAATTATCTAGGGTCAAGGAAAATAACAATGATTATTAGTGGAGGAAAATCTACTACTTGGATTACATGGAGTACTTGTTTTTGCAAGGTTATCTGGACAACTAAGAATGTGGCATTGTTCTATCTCTGGCACATGAATGAATTTCCCATGTCTTAACTCTCATTAAGCTGAGGAGCAGTTTAGATTAGAATATTGATCACATTTTAGAATATTATATGTGCATGTATTTTTGTATTTCTGTGGTTTTTAGCTATGGTTATTCTGTTCTCGAATGTCTGTTTTTAGTGACTCTGCTTCTTTGCTATACAACCTTCTTTTCTTATTTTTATCTCCATTCACAGCCACATTAATCATGATAAAGAGATGTTTGGTCATGTTCTCCTTGTTTATGGTTTTATATTATTCCAATTTCAAAGCATGCATTGAGCCTGACAAGAAGGAAATGGGTATTATCCGGCTTAGAATTGAATTGAAGGCTTTATTTGAAGGAATAACTTTGACTGCAGAGGATCATCTGATTTCAGATGTGCATGTTTATTCTAGCCATTTTCATCCACTGCACATAGAAGCATTGTGGTTGATACTCATATTTGCAATGAAAAGGGAGCCCACTTTTACATTTTCAGAATGATTTTTAAAGATAAAAAAAAACTTTTTAATGGAACTATTCTTCTCTAGAGAAATACTTCTAAAAGCTTAATTTACAGAAAGATAGCAAAGCAAGGTGTCATAAAAACATTCTTCTTAAAGTCAAATGGACATCTGCAAACACTTGTCAAACAAACATATTTGTGCTGACACCACATCCCTAAATGACTTGAAAAATTCTCTTGGCATGTGTAATTGTGAACATGTGAGATTAAATGTATACAATCTAGGCAACTTGAAGGTATGTGGACTTCAACTTCCAGAATTCTGGGAGTTGAAGTCCATAACTCTTAAAGTTGGCAAGATTGGACACTATTGTATACAGAAAAAAATTGCCACAGATTAATAAAGATGCCTGTATGCTTGTGTGCACATACCTACACAAAGTGAAACAACCTTAACTGCTTTATAGATCAATATTTTTAGCCCAGCACAGATGGTGACAATGATCAGGTCAAGTTCTGGTGTTCCCTATATAACACCTAATAAACATGTTTCTTGGGGCTCAGAGTTCCCTATCCTTCATCTCTACTCACTGCTTTTCTTTTCAAGTGACTATTGTTATGGCACTGTGTCAGCCATTTCATGAATGGACATTATTGACTCTCTCAAGGTAGTCCTAGTAATCCATGAGATGCTTATGTCTGAGAGTAGACCTGTATGAATGATGGAGCCCATGACACCCACTCAAAGCAGGATATGGGTTCGGAAAGGTTTCTTCTGGAAGAGGTCAGTCTACATAGCATGTGGAGAATGATGACTTCAGAGAACAGACAAGAAGTTGAAAATGATATCCAAAGCAAGAAATATATCCATGTGAATTGGATGAGACAGTAAAAAAGTATCAGCTAGCGTGAGAAAAATACCAAGATCTTACTCTATGCACAATCCTTGTTGGAAGTTGTAAAAAATATGGGACATCTAGTTGTTGGGTTATTTTCCGAAGTGATCACATAGATTAAATATTTTACTCAACTATTCCAACTAAATTCTTCTGGAACTCAAACCTGGCCCAGTCAGTTAAAATTTGAAATATATCTATGAAAGAATGAACATGTGGATGTAAGCATTTATTTATACTGAAACTCACAGATGAGAACTAAGGTTGTTCCCTAGTGTAGTCTCAATTGAGTTTCCCACCTGTTTCATAACCCGGTGTTATCACGTATGTACAAATCTTGTAAATATCTTGCCAAGAAAGGATTTAATTTGCTGAACGGATCTTTTATCAAAGAACTGAATACAGAGTACTGATTTTGTGGCCCCAAATAAGTATTGTCCATTTACTGAAAGATACTGGTTTCCTTGATGTTTATTCAGAGGAGGAGAAAGAGAAGAATGGAAGGGCCAGCTATATCTTTAAAGTAGCTCCTTTGACTTTCAGTGTACCTAACACACTGTGTTTATGTAACATTCCCTTACATCTTCACTTGTCAGGATTGCAATAACAGACCAATTAATGAAAAAATGTGATAAGTGATCTATGTGTGTGTTGGCAGTGTAAAAAAAAAGAGAGAGAGAAACCTTGAATATTCCCAGTTCCTTAACAAGTTTTCCAATCCAGTCAACCTAGTGAATTATAACCATATATTATCTGGTGAATTTTTTTTTTTTATCAAAGTCTATTTTTGGGTTGGTTCATTCTGAACTCAAGCAGCTGCCTTCAGCTGTAGCTTTGTTGAATTACAAAAATTTCAACCAAGATACATCTGAAGACAACTGTATGTGTTCAAGAATGAATCAACTCAAAAGCAGACATTGATAAAAAGAAATATCTAATGCTAATTCCTTCTCAACAGGTATGGATATTATCAGTACATATCTATTCTAATTACCATTCTGTGAGCTGGTTGTTTGGGTTTCAGAAGAAAAATAAGGAAGATACAGAAGCAAAAGAGAAAATAAATGGCTTGTAAACAGTATTTATTAAGCTATACAAAATGTATGTGGATCAAAAAATAGAGATGATAGATAGATAATTATATTTAAAAACACATCTTCATTTCTTCTAAAGTGATTCCCATCTATCATTTAAAAAGAAAAGTATTATCATTTGTGTTAAATCATATTATTTACATACAAACAAAATAAAATAATTAACTAAAATTATATGATAGTCTGCTTTTATTTGCAGATGGGATACATACTAAATATTCATATCCCCATTTGTCTTGTTCATATCTAATACACTGAACTCTTTCCTAAAATAGTTCTATACAATTATTTCCCACTAAAGCCATTGTGAAAATAAAATCAACAGTATAAATCATGATGGAAATAACAGTGCTTAAAAATATGCATCAGCAAGTAATGGAAGCAATAAAAATGGATAAACAAAGCAAAATGAATACATGATTTTAAAAAAAAGATACTGAAGGACTCTTTTCATGCATGTTTCAAAATCTTGCAATTAATCAAGTTGACTCCTGCTATAATTCATGCCAGATTCTCAAGCAGGCTCACCGAGGCGGATAAGATGTTATCTTTTGGAATGCTCTGTCAAAAGACCTATCACAGTTTCTTGTACTTTGTTGCTCTGGAGCAACCAAAATGGAATACACTGTACAAATCGTGCCTTTATCAAAAGAAGGAGAAGGAGAAAAACGATTAAGATTAATTTAATTAATGATCTCACACTTTTATAAATTAGAACAGCACAACATTTGGTGCACTATAGCAAGAGTAAGCTAAAGGCATTTGGGGGCCAGAGGCAGAGCTTCAAATCTCCTGTCACCGGCATTGCCATGCATGGCACCCAAATGCAGTCAAGTTACGGTGTTATATTTAACACCTTTCCCTGGCAGTGAAAGTACCTTTTACAATACAGTGGAAACAGTGGTGGTGGGATTCATTTTTTTTTCCTTACTGGTTCTGTGGGCGTGGCTTGGTGGGCGTGGCAGGGGAAGGATACTGTAAAATCTCCAGTCAGAGATGGTATTTGCCGGTTCTCCGAACTATTCAAAATTTCCGCTGCTGGTTCTCCAGAACTGGTCAGAACCTGCTGAATACCACCTCTGATTGGAAAGCTTGTATTGTTCCTGCACATTTATGATTCAGCTCACCTCTCAGCAAGCTTGCTTTTCTGGTCCCGCTTGTATATTCTAAGTACAATAGATATTTAAATAACATTGTCCCATCCAGATGTTTTTGATTCCCTTTGCCATAACATCCAAGCAGCACATCAACACTTATGCTGGTTGGAGTTTATAGTCCTTAAAGTTTATCATGTTTGGAAAGTATCAAGAAACAGTTTTGTCTATGAGCGATAGATCCAAGATCTTTCTTTAACCAAAAGCACCAGGACTTGTCTGGTTACAAAGAACATGGGATTTTCTACATGCAAAGCATGTGATGTAAGGTAGAGATCTTTCATCATTATAGTGTTATAAACATTCAGATGCAAATCCATAATCAATATGGATTTGGTAAAACACCAAAAAGATCTAAAGTTTTCTTCAGTATGGCATAATACAAAATGTATTTTCTAAATTATGAATGTACAACTCCAAGTTTCTGCACCATACATGGCTCTCCGCTTTTTTACAACCAATTTAATTTTCAGATTTAAAAAAAAAACAGATATAAGAGGCAAGAGTTAATTTTAAGTCTGTGATAGGATTCTTCACAAATCTCAAAAATTCAATGTGGTATTTGCATGACCATATAAAATCATATAATATATGGGCAGGCAACTGGTTTTCTTCCTAAGAAGACTAGTTTTGGAGTGTGAGTTACTGAAGCTAAAATTAAACTTAGAGCATCAGTGTCTTATATACTGCTAGTTAAAACTCAGAAAAATCTTTTGCAGCTTTTCAGACTAACAATTTTTTTATTAAAAGGCATGAGTTTTCATAAGTTATAACTTGCTTCAACAGATGTGATCATCATCAACTTAGGCCTTTTAATAAAATGCATTAGTTGGGGAGGGGGGAAATGCTACCAGATTCCTAATTTTTGGCTACCATAGACTAACACAGTACAAACTGCTGCCAGAGTAGTGTTTCTCAACCTTGTCATCTTGAAGAGTTGAAGTCCACAGTGAGCTGTGGACCAACTCCAAGAATTCCCCAGCCAGTCTTGAAGTCCTCACATCTTCAAGTTGACACGGTTGAGGAACACTGTGCTAGGGGAAAGCACTATATTTTTGTAAGCTAACTCAAATTCATAGCTGGTTATTACCAAGATTTCATGGGCTAAACATCCAAATGTTTCATCACCAAATGTAACATATCTCAGTGACTCTCGTGCAAACTCTTCTGCTGTTTTGGTGATCACATTGGGTTGCTTATGCATGATCATTGGAGTAGAAACCGCAAAGGGAGTCACTGCCTGAAATAAGGAGAAAAATAACAGACACTGTTTCAGATGTTGTAAACTGTAACATGTTCATACTTCATTGGAAAAAGAAGGAAAAGGAGGAGTTTTTATAAGCAGGAGAAAAGAAAACAATAAAAATTTCCAAAGCCCCAAACATGCAATCTATTCAGTTAATTTGATGCTTGTTGCAAAAAGAAAAAAAGAAATGTAATTACCTGTATCACAATTCCTTTTGACTTATATTCCACTTGAAGTGCTTTGGAAAATGTATATACAAAAGCCTAGGTAAAATTACAGAGAAATCAAGGGACAGCTTTAAAGAATATGACATTGATTGTACATATTTGTCAAATTATTTGGTAGATCTAAAACCTAATTTCATTCAAGGCCCTTTTTCAAAATCTTTCCATTTTTTCCTTCCTATCACTACCTAGTGCCATTGCTGAATAGTTCTTTCCTATTGAGAATATAGAAAGTTCAGATTAGTTAATTCAGATATAAAACACCCCTTGAGACATCCTCAATATGTATGTTAATTTGGAAAACAGGATTATCCAGGAATCCCAATCCCAAGAGGGCTACATATATAAAAACTGATAATTCTTTCCTTCTAGTGAACTGGGAGTTATTTTTATAACTAACATGTTCAGGTATTCCAAATAAACATTTGAAAAAGGAATAACAATTTAAGAACTGGGATAGGTAAACAAGCTTGCTGTCATAATAATGGGGAAGAAAGATGAAAGGGTTCAAAATAAAACTGACACAGTTTACCCAATTCTCCCCCTCTTGTTTTGGGCAAATCATATTTGTTTTCTAGTAACTTTTTTTTAAAGTAATGTGGGATTAAAACAAAAATACACTTTAGACAAAGTTTCTCCCTTTTCTTGGGACTTGCTTAATTTGTGCTAGCAGACTAACAAATAACTGTGTACATTAGCTGATAGGAAGTTGTCCTATATTCCTACTTCATCATTTCATGGGAGGAAAAAAACCCCCACTTTCTCTGGCTTTCCACTTTCTCTAACATCAGGGCTCTGAATAACCTTTGCAGAGATCATCACAGTCTTGTAATAGAGGTATATGATGTCTGATTTCGGCTTTTAGAAAAGAACATCAGGAATATCGCACAGTTGTTCAGATCTCCCTTTAGGGAAATCCAACTCCACTATGGCAAGGTATTTTTTAGTCTCATAAAACCAATAACAATAGATAGAATCTGAAATACAAAAAAAAATTCATGACATACCTTAGATGCAGAATAGATTGCATATAAAGGACAAGGAAAGGTGCCAATGGCTGATGAAAGGTTAAGAATTAGACCTTTTCTTCTGAAATGTAAAATGAAAATAACTTTTAGGTATTTTGCATGCACTAAACTAATATACTTACTCAAATTTCATAGAAGCCAGTACTTACCCAATCTCAATTTTCTTAGATCATTAAAGATTTATGGCATTTCATTGAACTAATAAGTATTTACACACACATATATAGGATAAGGACTGTAAGATTCTTGTCTTTCCTTTGATGTCCAGAGAAATCCATAATAAAAAAATCTGCCATAGTGTATATCCTTCAAGGGCAACCTGAAAACTTCTAGAATAACATTAACGAATGGGTTCAAATTCCTGGTGAATTTGTAGTTCATTAGCAGGTGCAGTTGCTTAATTTATGGTTAGAAGAAAATTGTCATGGAACATCCTTTCTATGATATTGGTTGGGCTGCATACGTTGAGCCTGTGACATGGCCTAATATCTGGTTTGCGACTATGCAGTACTCTGGAAAATGGTGTAATTCATGCCAACCCAAATCAGCCCAAAGTTCATTAAAATCGAAAAGCATCCCTGAAGAAAACAATAAATAAATAAATTAAAATGTGAAAAGTTGCTTTACCTTGCCACCATTTGTTTCAAAATGATTCGCGTCATCTAAAAAAAAAAGTATAATTAGAACTAGACCTCATAGATTGTTTGAGACAATTCAGCAAACATTGATAATATAGCCACCACAATGCCCTGAACAGTATATACTGATGTCCAAAATTGGATATTGTCTCTGTCTCTGTCTCTCTCTCTCTCTCTCTCTCTCTCTCTGTGTGTGTGTGTGTGTGTGTGTGAGAGAGAGAGAGAGAGAGAGAGTCATTAAATAGCTGATTGTAAGTAGCAAGAAAAACCTCTTACATCTTGTTAAAGTAAACTAATGAGAAATGATAGTCAGAGTTTTCCATGAATGCTTCCAGGTAAGGCTTTTGTTATGCAGCTATTGTCTGCTTATAACATTCAGAGTTTCCTCGACATTTTTCTTATTAGAAATAAAAATCAATTAAGTGGAAAACGCAGACTTGCCAATGTGGGAAGGTCCAATTCCCTGTCTCTGCTGAGGCTGCACTGAACGGTATTTTTGACAATTTGTCAAATCTAAAATCAAAGGGCCTATTTAGAAATGCATACAGCAACCAAAATATTTTGCATCTTTTGTCAGTTTGTTTTTGTTGGTTTGAACCAACAAAAGTGTTTGAACAAATATCAAAGCAGCAGCTGTCAGATTCTGTTTAGGGAATAAAACCATTTGATATCACTTAAAGATGTTTGGGGTAAGTTGTAAACACAAAGCTTAAGCAGCATTTTCTGATAGCTCAGAAGGAAATGTGATAGCAAAGGCTTTAGTGTCATATTATCAGCTAAAACTGCTATGAAATTACATCAGTTCAAGTGATGCTGCTTTCCCAAATTGCTAAGAAAGAAATTCTAGTTTTGCCAGGATAAGAGTCAAGAACTAAATGCTGCATTATAATACTTCTAAAAGGAAGGAAAAGATCAGCCAGTGATCTTTCTGCTGAAGTAAAGCTATTGTACACAAAGAAAGGATTTATGACAGATACACAAGAACAGTCTTATTACTGCCCACCAGCTAAAAAAACTGAAAGTTGACCTTCATGTTTACATAAATCTCAGCTGATTAAAGATAAGGACAAACAATTTTTCTATTGAAGGAGACATGATTAAAAACAATCCAATCATTTTGTATGGTGTTTGGAGGTGAAATACAGGTTTTAAGCCTGTTGGTGCTTTAAACTAGCACCCATTTTGTTTTACAAAGAACATTGTGAGAAATTATGCCAGTGAAAATCTACACTTTCCTACACTGCCTACAGGTAAATGATAAGCAAGAATACTAATATACCTGCTTTCACATATTTATCACTAAAATTGTTTTGTTTGCATGATGTAATGGGAAAGTAAAACTGGTATGTCCAGTTTTAGAAATTTTGTTTTGCTATCACGCACTTGTCATATTCAGTTTTAGCCAGCCTAAGTGAATACCCATTCTGAAGTCATGTTTCAACATCCAAAGAGGAAGAGAACCAGCATAAAAGCAAAGTGGAGGGACAGAAAATCCTTGGGTGCAAATGATATAACAGAAAGAGAAGAGTGGAGTAAGTACCACCCTTAATCTGTGGGATGACAAAGAGTTGTAACCCAACAACTTGTGGAAGGCCAGATATTGTCAATGTCTGTTTCTTTGCATTCAATTCAAATGTCATGCCTTACTTTTTGGCAAACAAACATAAAGAGCTGGTCTGGTTTTTTAATACATACCTTAGTGACAGACATGATATTGCAATTAATGAGGTCCTGTTGAAAATAATAAATGGATTACATGGCAGTTGTGTTGATTTGAAGAAAACAACATGCTCAGAAAATTCAGTTTGGCCTCAGTTTCTAGAATGAGATGTTTAAAAATCTGTTCCCACCAAGGCTAAATGAGCCTTCCTATTTCATGATAATTATACAAGATAAGCCAAACATTATTTAGCAAGATGGCTTGTATGTAGTACATCAGTCTTCCCCAACCTGACATTTCTCCTTTCTACAAAATTGGTATTTTGCTGCAGAAATAAACATCTTGACTGCCTACTATCCAAAACAACCAATTTGGCGATGTTCCATTACACTTCCTCAAACATCCAATTGTGTCCAGAAACGCATGTTTGATTCTAGTTAAAATGTCGAGCAAGAACAACCAAACCCACACATGCAGAGTTCAAATAAACTATTTTATTATGCTCTGCCTATAATACAGGAATTGCCCCAGACTAGAAGCCTTCTCTTGGGAACAAATAGATAAAACTCTGAGAAAATTAGGAGTCAGTCCTAGCCCTTTGGCATTTGTATAGTGAATCCAGGCTTACCCTGTGCTTGAACTCTCTCTTCATAAAAAAACAATTCAAGTGTCAATCAAGCTTCAATCAGAATTTAGAAAACTTGTTTATTGGCTACCTATATACTTCAACAAAACTTAGAGATGATCACAATAGAAATATACTAGAGCTATTACCTGAAACATTGTTTAAGCTCTGATAAATAAGAAAATATTTGGAAAGAAGCTGAACCTTGAATGCTGGAATATAAGGAGAAGAGGTAGTAAAACACAGTTGAGCTTACAATAAATACTCTGTGTTATAGCTCAACTCAATAAAGTATAATTTTATGGCCCTCGTGGAGTTGATTTTCTGGTGTGATCTACATAGTGTTGCTGATACTACATTTTGTGTGAAAACACAAATACATGATCTTATTACTATTATAGAAGAATCCTTACCTCATCTTTGTCTGGAATATTAAGAAAATGGCATGGAAAACGATTAGGTAGCATTCCAACATTGTTAACTAAGAAAAAAGAAAAGAAAAAGCAAAAAGCAAATTAGAATCGTGAAGTACAGTTAAACCATTAGAGCAGGGGTCCCCAACCACCGGTCCGTGGACCGGTACCGGTCCGTGGAACAAGTCCTACCGGGCCGCTGGCTTGCTGGGCGCCGCCATCTTGTTTTGATGAAAAAGTGCTTCCGGTGAGCTTTTCCGGGTAGAAAGCTCACCGGAAGCACTTTTTCATCAAAACAAGATGGCAGTGCCCAGCTGATGTCGGTACCAGGCCGCGCCATAAAAAAGGTTGGGGATACCGGGCCGCGGCGTAAAAAAGGTTGGGGATCACTGCATTAGAGCCTCTGGATCACATTGCAGCCCAAAGTCCCAATCTTTTGGTTTCCAGAACTCCTGCCTCTTAAGTTGTATTGGTATTTTTTTAAGGCAAAGCTCCATTTTTCTCTCCTGAAAAATGGGGGGGGGGAGAGACCCTTGCCTTTTTTCATGAAATAACCAGCTTCCTATAATAGGTTCCCAACCCTGACTGACGATGCTTTTTTCTGAAGATACAGAATACACAGAAACCATTCAGATAAACATGATTGTTGAGTGTTGTTTTTTAATAATGTCAGATCAACCATGTCTGTCTGATGAAGACAATTTAATAGTATCTAAATTTAAAAGATACAAGGAGAGAAACTATCACATACAATGTTTTCCTGAGTAATTTATTGGGATGCTTTTTAGTATGATTCAGGCTGAGCTATAGTACCAAGCAGCATTGGTAGCATATGTGGGCAACTTTTGGAGGGCTTTGGATGGGGTGGTGGTGGTTGATAAGGTTCTTCTGGTTCTTCTGGGATCTCTCAGTGGCTTTTGATACTATTGACCTTGTTGAACTGGCTCCAAGAACTGGGAGTGGAGAACACTATTTTGCAGTGATTCTCCTCCTTTCTCTGTGTTTGGTTGCAGTCAATGCTAGTGGGGAGGAGGGGTCCAATCCTGGGCCCCTATTATGTGGGGTACTTAATGACACAAGTCTCTCTCTCTCCCCCACTATCTAATTCATAAGAAACCACCGGGAGAGGTCATTCACCAACATGGGATTTGGTATCATCAGTAAGCTGGTGTGTAGATGATACCCAATTATATACTTCTACCCCATGCTGGGCAAGTGATGCTCATCAGGTGCTAACTTAATGCCTGGAGGTTGTAAGCCCTTGGATAGGAAAAAGCTGGCTGTGACTCAATCTTAGCAAGGTGCAGTGCTTGTGGGATTTTGGTCCATCAGGGTCAGAAGAACAGAGACTTCTAACTCTGGACAGGTAACACGCTCCTGTATAAAGAAAAGGTAAAAAGGGAAACTGACAAAAATTGCTTCTTATTAGTATTGCCAACCAAAATAGTGTTTAAAAAGCAAATTCTTTTCACTTGTCACTGGTTGCTTTTATTGATGGATGACTTTTAAAAAAAAACCTCACCAGAGTTAAAAAACAATGGTTACATGTAACTAATTCATAAAAAGGAACATCTCTTTGAACCAGTTTAATTTTTGGCGACTTCATTTTCCTATTCTTGGTTAACTTACCCAAAATTCCAATTTCTAATCCTTGAAGATTTTCTTCAATGTTTTCATAGATGTCATTATTTGTGAAGTCAGCTTGTATGATTTTCACAGTTCTCTTAGTCGTTTGTTCTGCATGGAGGAGAAGGAGGGGGGTTTATATTAATTTATTTTCCCCCTATAATTTATTTAAGTTTAAATAGATTAAATCTATGAGCACACCATAGTAGGGACCTTACCTGGAATATTACCTCCATTTAAATATATTTGGAGCCAATTTGCTGATTATGAGAATGGCAAAACCATTGGAAACTGGTTACTATACAACTTAATATCAGATATTCAATTAATTCTCACCCAGTGCTGGAAATCACACAATGAATAAGAAACAGCTTCCAAAATTTATTGTAACTTTGACTAAAATTTTATTTTAGCAAAATCTACATAAATTTTGTTTACCTTAGCAAATAAGCTTTAATATTAATAAAAGTTGGTCAAATCCTTAGTAATTAAGACACAAAGTGATCACATGTTGTGCCATGAATAAATCAATTTTTGTCTGCCAGCAGTTTATGGAGTTTTGCTATTAGATTCAGTAGCATTTTCTTGAGGAAGATAGAGTGAATCATGGGACAAGTTTACCTTCACTGTTGTTGCAAGGTTTCTTTAACTGATAACTTGTCAGTCAGAGGTGATATTCAGCAGGTTCTGATCAGTTCTGGAGAACTGGTAGTGGAAATTCTGAGTAGTTTGGAGAACTGGAAAATACCACCTCTGATTGGAGATTTTACAGTATCCTTCCCCCTGCCATGCCACCAAGCCACGCCCACAGAACTGGTGGTAAAAAATTTTGAATGTCACCACTGATGTAAGTTCAATAAAATTAGCTTTAGAACAATATAATGCATTATTTTGATCTATTGATCACAATGTCATTTGAAACATAATACATGTAGTTCTCACTTTCTGACCATTTGTTCAGTGACTGAAATTACAATGGTGCTGAAAAAGATGATTTGTGATCTGGCCTCAAAGTTGCAGCTGTCATAACAGCTGTGATCACTATTTGCGGCCTTCACAGCCAGCTGCCATCAAGCAAAGTCAATGGGGAAGCTGGCAGGAAGTTGCAAATTGTGGTCAAATGATGTTGTACTTAACCCACCGTGATTCACTTAATGAACTGCTAGCCCCAACTGCAGATTGAATGTAAGGATAACTTGTATAGGAAGCTATGATGGTTCATTTAAAAAATAAAATGAAATCTCACATATTTGAATTTAACTGAATTAATTCTGGCATCTCTACCCACGCATTATTCTAGAACTTAAAGCTTTCTGCATGCAGTATTAAACCAGTATAGTTCTTTCTCTCTAAATGTAACATTCAGTCAAATTAGACTTGAAAGCTTGCTCATTGTTTTGTATCATTTTTGCTGCATTCTAATGAAGAATTCTTCTGCTGTGAGGCTACAATGTGAACATGAGACATATTGGGCAAAGTTCCTTCTTTTTTAGATACTTACCAATTTCCAAGGCTACCTTCTCCATGTTTTTGAGTGACCGACTTATGAGAACCACGTTCAACCCATGCTTTGCAAGCTGAAAAACAAAGTTTAGCAATATTTAAAATTTGATGCTGAATTAATGGAGCACCTCCTATGTGAAAAAACATGCTTAAGTACTGTAAACTCAGTCCCGCCATTTAGAAGGACTGAGTGTTGTGGTTTGCCGGCAGCCTGTGCAGATGGCAGCAGAATTAGACAGGAATGGGGACCAGTCCAGGAGTCTGGGGAGGACTCAGATGAGGGTCCTGCGTCCAATGCAGAGATGGGGACAGGACCATCTGGGAGTTGTATGCTGACTGTGGAGCCTCCGGAGTCTGGCTGCAGCAAGGCAGAGGAACAAGGGAAGCCTGTTCCCAGTGCACGTGTGTGCAGAACTGCTAGAAGGCAAGAGCAGCTGAGACAAAAGGGGTGACTTGGGAGTAAGGCTTGGAGGTGGTTGCTCCTCCCCTAAGGTATAAAGGAGGTGCAAAGGTAGAGAAACCTTTGCAGGAAGCAAAGTTGTTCGCTCTGTTCAGATTAAACCTTGAAGCTCTGTGTGGACTTTGTACTTCAGTTGGTTTTTTTTTCCAGTTAATTTGGCATTTTAGTTGTTGGCAACAATTCAAAGGAGATAAAGGTGGGTGCTTATCTCGAGGGACTGTTTGGGACACATTACGGGGTGGGAATGAACATAATTCCCAGCATTGAAATAAAACAAGAGTTATTTTGACTAAGTGTGTGCTTAATTACAGTTTTAGGAAGCCTTGGTCAGAACACTGACCATGGGTGGTTGAGGGGGTATCTTTACATATTTACTGTGTAAAATTTAATAAATCTCTTTATATGATTTCATGGAGAAAATCAATGTGGTTTCTAGAACCAAAAATATTTCTGCATGTAATCAATTGATCAATCTTTGTATGATTGTGTTACAAAAATGATATCAAAATTTTCTTCTCTGTATGTAGAATATCCAAGATTATATTAAAGATTATACATTATAGGGTGACCATCAAAATACTTTGTTTTTTACCTTTTAAATTTTTTTAAGCTATTTTCTTTCCTGGTTTAAAAATATGGTGTCATAAAACTTAACATAAACATCTACAAAAGAAGCATATTGAGTTTCACCAGTTTGTTGTTTGGTATGTTCCAGCACACATAGGTCCCAGCTTCAGCTGGAAATAGCAATATTCTGTGCAAACAGGTGGCTTTCATCTCACCCTCTGGAACTGATGCCATGGAAAGCATCTGATGATAATATCAACTTATTGATAAAGAGCTTAATTCACTTCCTGGATTTGAAGCCATGCTTAGTAATGTCCATAGAAATCTTTATCATGAAGAACACAGTCTGTTTGTATCAAGTTGTTCTGAACCTAGATAATTATGATAGGCAATGGATTGTCCCTGTATTAAAGTAAAGTATTTTTAAAGTAACTTTTGTATTCCTGTTCTTATGCAAGAGGGGGCATGATGGCTCAATGATTAAAGACACTGAGCTTGAACCCAGGTTCAAGATGCAGGCACTGCACAACAGGGTGAGCTCCCATTCCTGCCCCAGCTCCTGCCCATTTAGTAGTTCGAAAGCATGCAAATGTGAGTAGATTAATAGGTACCACTTCGGTGAGAAGTCAACAGCATTCTGAGCACCTTTGGCATATATCCATGCTGGACACATGACCATGGAAATTGTCTTCAGACAATGCTGGCTCCATCGGTTAAGAAATGGAGGTGAGCATTGTGCCCCTAAAGTTAGTCATGATTCGATACCTTTTACTGTTATGCAAATTGATGGAAAAGAAATTACTTTATAAAAGAGTCCAATGCAAATAGAAATTTAAATGAATTGTCATGGTTGGGGCAGGGTTAGTTAATGTTGTCCTTCAGCAGTGGGGTGAATGGCAAATCTTTCACTCTGCCACCACCCTGCCGATGATCTATAGCCTACCTATAGTAGTTCTCAAATGTCAATTAAATCCAAAGAAAAAGGAATTTCTTTTTTCTACCATTCAGGGGCATGCACCAGAAAGGTAGACAGATTTACCAGTGGTGGGATTCAGCCGGTTCATACAGGTTCACACAAACCAGTTGTTAAATTAGCCACCCCCTTATCAAAGTGATTCCTGGGCGCTGTGCTGCAATGAAGAAATGGTACAACGGAGCGTCTGGTATGAGGAAAGGAGCTTTCCCTCCTTCCCTCATACTGGCCACTCCATTTTCAGTTTCTCCATCGCAGCACAGCACCAAGGATCCACTTTGATGGGTGTGTGTGTAATTTAACAACCAGTTCATCCAAGGTCAGGTTGCTTGTCCCGTATGTGCAGCAGAGCTGGAGGATAGGTATTGGCCATGCTGCCCACAACAGCCAACCTGACCTTGGGTGAACTGGTTGTTAAATTATTTGAATCCCACCACTGTATAGAACCACAAATACCATTAAGGCCCCTGTAACTATAATATTAGCTTTCCAGAAATGAACTGAAAAAAACTTGACACATCTTTGGCAAGGAAAAAATCTTTCAAGTTGGAAGAAGAATTTTGGCACAGTATTACTGATAAAATATTTACAAAGCATATGAGAATGTATTCTAATCTAAGCCCAAAATATTTGGTCATGAAATACATGTTTGCTACCTCCAAGGAGTAGGCTCTTCCAATTCCATCTCCTGCTCCAGTGATCACTAAAAAAAAAAGAATATAATCTTTAATTATCTTATTCCCTTAATATGTATATATTCCCCTCCCACTTTCATCTTCAGAGGTAAGACAGGTAGGGTCCTAGTAAATTGACCTAATTTATATTGGAACAGAGTTTTTACTACATTAGTTTTGAAACAGCATGGAAAGCAGCAAATGGAAAAATTTGGTGATTTGGTTTTATAATATGCATCAATCAAATTGCTTGTCTAAAAACTCTTTAAATTGCAGCCAAGGCTTTACTTGCTGGAAAGTGGAAAAACGAAGTTAGATTATTCAAAAGGTTGTATTTTAAGAGAGTTTGAAATTAAAGGCAGACATTGTCATAAAAGTAGTAAAAGCCTGAATACCAAAAGTTGGGAGAAAGTAAATTGTTACTTAATTTTTGGACCCTGCTTTAGGAAGATGACTCAATAATGTTTATTTATTATCTTCACCTGGATATAATAACAGATCTAAGCTAGAAACTATACAATACTATAGAAATTCAGCATATAATTGAGAAAATATTGTTTATAGAAAATATGGGAATAAGCTATCCAATCATGATATATGTAAAAGTAAAAATCTGTCCTTTTTCACTGAAAAATAAATATTGGTGAATTCAATGGGATTTTATATAGACATAGGAAATAACACCTTTACAAATGCTCTAAGTTTTCTGAATTACTGAACATCAGAACATCATGCTTTCAAAAAGACTTCATTCTAGGAGAGGGCATTTAGGATCGCAAAATAATTTTGCACTGCTTATATTGCTTATATTTGTTTCCTTCCAAGAGTTTACTTTGCAATCATGTTGTAGCAATTTTTCCTACAAAAGTACCCTTGTATAAAATTGTAAGAAAAAGAAAACCTGGAGCAGTTCAGCAAGCATACGCCTAGAATGGTTGTGATACACAATCCTACCAACTTCTAATAAGATAAGCTATTTCTTTGGGGGTTTTTTTTTCTTCTGAGGATACTTGCAGATTTGAATGAGAATTTTTTTTTTTAAAAAAAGCAGTGGTTCTCAATCTTTTAAGTCTTCTCATCCAATCTTTCTCCATCCAATCCCTCTACCAAAGAATATAAATTCCACCTAGAATCTCTTCCCAAGAATGGCAGTTGTATGTTTACAGGTGGTCTAAGATACTAATCATTAATGGTTAGAATTCCAGTCTTATTCTGTGATTTATCCCACCATTAAGGAACTACAGCCCAGACAAAAGAAAATGTATTTGCATGTACAAAATGAGGACAGCTACAGAATCATACTGGAATAAAAATATACACACATATACGTACAAAGTAGCAATTACATTCTTGAAAAGCAGAACATTAAAAATATTATGAAATTGCATAACACAAACAAACAGCCAGTTGGACTCCATGCCATTACTTGCCTGTTTTAAACGTTTTCCAAATAAAGGAAAATCATTTTCTATGCTCCGCAGTCAAAATAGACAATGAAAGGAACCCTCTAGCAATGCATTAGGAACAATGAAACAAGTTCCCTATCTCTCTCTCTCGCTCTCTAATTCTCCAGACTTCCAGAGATAAACCATATGGAAAACTGATTTTCTAGCTGAGTAATATCTTTCCCCTCCACATTGTCTTATATAAAACTAGCAAAGATGCTCTTACCTGCCCATTCTCCCATTGAACAAAAATAAGATGAAGGCAAAAAATTCCATATGTAAGGAAGAAAATATTTTAAAAACCAAATGCACTTTAGCAGGAAAATGGAACAGCAGATGCCTCCAAGGAGAGCCAGAAGTGGCTGGAATTCATCCATGAGAAACTGATAAAAGAAGAGCTTGGACAAGTGCTGAAACAGTTCTTGCTTTTGTCCAGCCTACAACTACTTTGAAAGCTGGGCTGGCAGAAGAGAAATAAATATACCCAATCATAACTTCTGAAATAATTTGAATCTTGTTCCATGGAATAATACACTCAGAATAATAACAAAATGATGTCTTCGTCCTGATATGTAACAGTATAGAAGAAAAACAAACCAAAACATGAGTTTTAGAGCCAAGTTGATACTTTCCTTTTTTTACAAAAATAACTCAATGTTTGGGCTTCTTGGGATGAGCTCACTCCTAACACATGGAAACTGTCATGATGCCATCATCATCTGATGATCTGGTCTCTCAATTTGTTACTGAGGGTCACTGTTACCTCCTTGTTTATAAATTCACTAACCCTATTTAAGATTTTAATATATCATTTTATTTTTAGTTAGTTAGTTTAGTTTGTCAAGCATGTATGAGAAAACAAGTATAAGTATGAACATAACATATGAACATATAAGTATAAATGGGTATAAGTATATACATAATAAATGAGTACAAATAAATGGCAACAGTAGGACAGGGATGATAGGCATGCGGTGCACTTTATGCCAGCTCCCTTACAGACCTCTTAGGAATGGAGTGAGGTCCATGGCAGACAGTTTAAGGTTAAAGTTTTGGGGGGTTTGAGGATGTAACAACAGAGTCGGGTAGTGAGTTCCAGGTGTTGCCCACTCTGTTGCTGAAGTCGTATTTTCTGCAATCAAGTTTGGAGTGGTTTACTTTGAGTTTGTATCTATTGTTTGCCCATGTGTTATTGTGGTTGAAGCTGAAGTTGACAGGTAGGATGTTGTAGCAGACAATTTTGTGTACCAAGCTGAGGTCAGAGTATAGGCAGCGTAGTTCTAAGTTGTCTAGGTCCAAAATTTCAAGCCTGGTGGCATAAGGTATTCTATTGCAAGATGAGGAGTGAGGAATTCATCACTGAATTTTCTGTTGTTTCTGGCAGCATCATTTAGTGGATTCACAGAGCAATCTTCAAGTATAAATACATTAGGCAGAATATATAGGATTGCAATCTATGTGTCACCTTTCCTCCAAATGGCAAGGTAAGTAGCATTACTATTACTACTAATATTACTACAACTACCAGTGTGGATGACCAGCCAAAAGGACAGAGTTCAGAAGGAGCACAATAAAGAATATGAATTTGTTTATGACTATTTCTGAATGTGTACAGAGAAGTACAGAGTGCTTGAGCATGGGTTGGGACTAGTCAGTGAGTTTTGGGGTCAATGACTCCTTCCTAATCAAATCTTGAACCCAATCAAGATCTTGTAAGGACCATGCAGATTTTCCAGAGCCACGGCGACTTCAAAAAATTAGCTCAGCTCTCAAACAGCATGGACCTAGAAATCCAAAGCCTTTTTGTTCACCAGCATGGAATAATTATGAGGAGTGCCCAGAGTGGAAAATGGGCATCGATTTTGATAAGAAAAATAATGTTCTGTTGCCTTGCCAGAGCTTGACTTACTGGTAACTTGTTTTCAATTTATTAAAAACCACAACCCCATACACAATGTGGCAAATCTAATCATGGATTTTTTTTCCAAATGAAGAGTTTATAAGGCTCTTTCTGCAAAATTGGACAAATTCTAAATATGTAGATTTGATTTCCAACATTTCTCAGCAATAGTCAGGCTGACTGGAATGGAAGAGCACACATCTCGAAGTTGCCAAGATTGGAGAACATGGGGCTAGACTAGTGTTTCTTACATTTTTCTATCTCAGGACTCCTTCCCACTTTTTAAAATAATGGAGGATCCCAAGAAAGCTTTTGTTCATATGGGCTATGAGTATTAAAAATTAAAATGGGTGCATTGGCTGCCACTACCACTTCTCACAATTATTTTATGGGATTTTAATATTGTATTATTTTTCAACATAGGCTGGCAAATAATTTTGGATACCTGAAAGGATCTTGGGGACCTCCAGAGGTCATAGGACAACACTCCAGATGATGGAATTTAGCAAGAAAAGGTGAGTAGGCAGAATTTTTGGACCTGCAGGATGCTTGGAAATACAGCCAACCCAAAAGTCATCCACCCAACAAAATCCCACTAGGTGATAGTTTTAGTCTTTCAATATTTTTACTAATATCTTATGGTTAGTGGTAGTGTCCAAGTTGCATTCTTTTAAATAAATACAATTTGTTTTGCTTTTTCCAGTATTATTCTTTAATTAAACAATTTTAAAATATTGATTTCAGGCGGGACAGGAAGGCTGATGGAGAGCAAAGTTTCTTTGGGGTATATTTGTTTTGCCCTGAATGCTCCATTGCCTGCAACTAGTGTGTGTAAATACAGTTAAGTTCAGGTCAGAAGTTATATTGTTGTTTGCTGCTACTTATTAGTTTCTTTCAAGTAAGACTTTTATGCCATATTGCCTTGCTTCCTTCATGGAATTTAGCACATATAAGTATTTCCTGAATATAATTGCAGATGAATTTAAGATACAAAATAAAATCCAAATAGACCTTCAATAAATACATTTACAGAAGAATATTTCTCAGGAGCTTATTCTAGCAAATAGAGCTTTGAATAAAATTAAGTTAGCATATTTCTTCTAAAGGATGACCTTCCTACATAGATTACATTGCAATAAAGCATCTAAAACAGGATTAATAAAGACTAGCATTCATAAATTCACTGTATTCTCTATTTAAACAATGTAAATTGTTTAAGCTATTGGTTCAGTCAGCGTTTGTTATATTTGCACATTTTCCCACCACTTCGGTTTGGAATCTGTGCAAAGGTTGCCCTACCCTGGGTCTCATTGGCTCTATCAGAGGAAATACAATATTGTCATGGATCAAAGATGAAAATTATCAGATCCTGGGGACCACATACCCCCAAATCACTTTATTTTGATAGGGTTGATCTGAAGCTTCTGGATGATCTTCAAGGCAACCCCTTGTAAAGCATGTTGCAATAATACAATCCAATTACTGAGCCAATCTTTTCCGCTGACTCAAGGTTTGGAAAAAAGCATTTTTGACAACTGTGAGGAAAAGCCTTACATATTGTCTCATCCTCTGGTTTCAGTTTAAATTTTAGAATGTGATCAGAGATTCTGACTTGCATTTCATTCACTCAGTAACACTGAAGTTGTCCCTTGCAACAAGTTCCCAAATTAAGTTTTCTTTCTTTATGTAATCTTCTCACTATTTAGGCAAAGGCATTAAAAAAAAAACATATAAAAGTTGTTGCTTATATGTGATAACAACATCCACTTGATGTATGGAAAAGAGGATGCTAATGGATCTGTTTATGATAGATTGGGTTTGGTAACCCTCTAGCCTTCAATTCTGTGCCTTTTACTCTGAGTACAGAAGGGGAAGGGACAATTTTTTTAAGGGACAGGACTATCTATGACAGTGATGGTGAACCTTTTTGTTGTGGTGTGCTGAAAGCATGCATGTGCTGGCGCCCATAATGCAATGCGCCCTGCCCCCCCCTGCACATGTGCGTGCAACACCCCCTCCCTGCCCCTTGTCTGCACTGTGCATGCACGCATCTCCCAGCTGATTTTCGGCCTGTTTGAGGCCGTTTTCGTCCTCGGGAGCCTCGGGAGGCTGAAAATGGGCCCGTTTCAGCACTTCCGGTATTTTTTTGGCCTCCCGAGGCTGCAGAGGCTTCCCTCAAGCCTACGGGGGGGGGGGGGGGGAATAGCCTCAAACGGGCTGAAAATCAGTTGGGAGGCATGAGCATGTGCAGTGCAGGTAAGTTTGGCTGGGGCTCGCATGCCCACACAAATGGCTCTGTGTGCCACTTGTGACACGCGTGCCATAGGTTCGCCATCACGGATCTATGAGGTCATAGAGGCCAGACACCGAAGCACATTTAATTCAAGGGCAAAAAACCCTTGGACTTCTAGCTTTCACATGAGAACACCCTTTCCTCCATAAACTTCTTTTAAAGTAGAGAGCGTGAACTATCCTTTGTGGCTCAGTGGTGACTCTGCCCCAAAACTGGAGTTCAATCCTGACCAGCTTGAGGTTGACTCAACCTTCCATCCTTCTGAGGTTGGTAAAATGCAGACCCAGATTGTTGGGGGCAATATGGTGACTCTGTAAACTGCTTAGAGAGGGCTGTAACACACTGTGAAGTGGCATAAAAGTCTAAGTGTTATTGCTATTGTCTGTGCTATCCTGGCAGGAAAATGTTATTGAGCCTGACATCTCTGGAGGGATTCGGACTGACAAAGCTTTCTTTTGCAGCTGTGCAAGGTTTGGATTTTAAAGAAAAAGAAAAATGGGTTTGGGAAGGACAAGGTCATGGAATTGAGAGAAAGGGAACAAATGATGACAACAGTATTGCAACAATGTGACCTCTGTTCTGCCAATTTTCACTTGTATTGTGACTGTCTTGTTTCACCCTCTTTTGAATAAACAAGATGGTGAATAGAGGATGCCTGTCCAAGGTCACGATGCACCATCATTGTATGGTTCTTCACAAGAAGATATCAGCCAATGGAAGAAGCAGACACTTTCTCCCAAAGCTTGTTTCTGGCTATTGAGTTGAATACTGCCTCTACATCAATGAATAATTTTCCTCAAGGGACATTCTGGGTGTATGTATGAGTCAACAGTGTTAAAAGGGAGATTCCAGGGGGAAAATGTCAGACTGAATGTCTCCGAAATGCTACTGATGAATAGTTTGGTACACTATTTTGTCTTCTCTTTCAATTACAGTTACAGTATATAATCGGTTTGACTCAATCTGGTATCTGGTGGACGCAGTCAATATATGTAAATAATTTAGTCAGTATTACATACTCCCAATGGCTTTTCTTTTCTTTTCTTTCTTTCTTTTCTTTTCTTTTCTTTTCTTTTCTTTTCTTTTCTTTTCTTTTCTTTTCTTTTCTTCTTTTCTTTTCTTTTCTTTTCTTTAGCAGAGAGATAACTTTAGTGGCTTCCAAAAAACAAAGGCTTAGCTAGGGTTGTCTTCAAGACAAATATCTAATATCGGCATACAGCTGGCATTGCCATTGGCCATACCTTGGGAAAAGTGACATCAAGGATCTTTTGGAATGGATTTTTCCCCCCTTTTGCTATCTTACTTTTTGAGCAGGTTTTCCCACTTTCTTTCTTAGCTTCCATTATTTCCATTTTAGGAGAGCTAATTTTTCATTTCAGGTACAATGCCTGGAGATTTACAAAAACTGGTAATTCTTTATATTCTGTAAATTTTATTCTTCTGTTATTCTTTTCCTATTCCTATTCTCCTTCCTTCTGTTCTGACCAAGGCTTCCTAAGACATCAACAAACACACATAAAATCCAAAACCTTTTTATTTTAATTCAATGGCTGTGAATTATCGTAATTCACAGCCTGGAGTGTGTCTTAGCAAGTTATAATTAGTCCCAGGGATGTCTGCCAAAGTTCTTCGAAAGACATCTGATAAGAATGCACCTTTATCTGACTTGAAGTGCTACCAACAACTAAAGTCTATTTATTAAAGTATATTAGTCTTTCAAAACCAACAGAGAACAAATTCACCACGGAGCTTTCAGAGTCCAAACTGATCAGAGCGAACGACATTGCTTTCTGCAAAGGTTTTCCTACCTTTGCATTTCCTTTATACCTTATGGGAAGGGAAATCACCTCCAAGCCTTACTCCCAAGTCGTCCCTTTTGTTTTAACTGCTTTTGCCTTCTGGCAGCTCTGCGCACACACACGCTTGAAACAGGCTCCCCTTGTTCCTCTGCCTCGCTGCTGCCAGATTCTGGAGGCTCTGGAATCAGCATATAACTCCCAGATAGTTCTGGCCCCATCTCTGTATCGGATGCAGGACCCTCGTCCAAGCCCTCCCCAGACTCCCAGACTGGTCCCTGTTTTTCCCCACTGTCCGATTCTGCTACTGTCTGCACAGGCTGCCGGCTAACCACAACACCTTCTGGATGCCTCCATAAGGCATTGCATGCCAAAATAACTAGACACAAAAACAGGTTTTTCTCCTGTGCCATCCCTCTGCTAAACACAATGTCTTATGCCTAAATATATTTACCCATGTAGTAGGGTTGTATTGCTATTATCATCTTTCCTATTACCTTCTCCTATTGGTATCGTATCATTTATCACTTTATTGTTTGTATCTTATGCTTTATTTATATCTTTTATTTATATCTTATGCTTTTATTTATGCTTTATTTATCTTATTTATAATTTATCACTTTGTTATTTGTATGTACACTGAGAACTTATGCACCAGAGGCAAATTCCTTCTGTGTCCAATCACACTTGGCCAATAAAGAATATTCTAAATTTTATTAACCACACACTCTTGGTTAAAGCAAGGGTTAGAGCTATACTTTAGTCAAGTGTTCTTATGAGTAGTTTATGTTAGTGATTCAAAATATCCCAACTTCCATCCTAGGTCAAATACATTAACATAAGAAGTGTATTAAATAAGTCAGCCCTGGTATTCACAAGAGCCAATAGGTAGGAGAGTGATCAAAATCTGGTCACTGCATCATTCTTGTTCCACTAGCTACTTATGCAAACACAGAAGGTTGCCATATATAGGTAGCTCTCAACTTACCATCACAATTGAGCCCCAAATTTCCATTGCTAAACCCAGCAAAAAAGTTTTGCCCCATTTCATGACCTTTTTTGTCACAGTTGTTTAGTGAATAACTGCAGTTGTTAAGTGAATCATGCAGTTGACTTTGCCTGTCAGAAACCAGCTAGAAAGTTTACAAATGGTGATCACGTGACCCTGGGACAATGCAACTGTCATAAATACATGCCAATTGTCAAGCACTCAAATTTTGATCATGAGAATACTGCAATAGCCATAACTGTCATAAAATGGGTCACAAGCCACTTTTTTCAGAGCCCACTATAACTTCAAATGGTCACTAAATGAATAGTTGTAAGTCAAGAACTTCCTGGTGTGTGTGTGTGTATGTATAGCACAGATATGCTTATATACAGAGGGTGTACCAAAAGTGAACCCCTCAGACAATTTATTATATAAATTATATTAAATGTTTACATTGGTTTTTCCTCTAACCACCCCTTACTCATTTGATGCATGACCTTCAACCATTCCTAACAATGGTTAACATTTTCTCTGAAAAATGAAATAAAATTGATAAACTATATTGTGGTTGGCCTCTGGGGCTGACTTTTCATAGATCCTGTATATGCACATATGCATGTGATAGCACTTTATCTTAACAAAGCCTAAAGATGCTATAAAAGATGTGTGCTCAAGTAGGTTTTTTCCAAAATCGACAGCTAATACTCTGTTTTAGTATTTTACATCCACAAGAACTGCTGTCATGCTCTGAGCAAGTCTTCACTGGACATTTCTTGTTGTCTCCTTGCCTAGAACAAAGGTGGCGATGAATACCTGCATCTTTATGGTTTTATTTATAGTAGTATAATAATTAGATGGAAAAGATCAGAGGTTGAAAGATGGTGGATTATTATGCATGCTTATATCATTGGCATTGAAATGAAACATTGAAATATTGAATAACTACTCTAAAACAACCATGTATATTAATACTAGGATTATATAAGTCTGATTAATATAACAGCAGCAACTACTACTACTTCTGGACCTTGGGCTTTCTAATTCAATCTTTTGGATTATGGATTTCCTGTCTGGCTGCTCACAGAGGATCAGATTAGGTAATCATATCTCTTCAGCCCTTATTCTTAACACTGGTACACCACAGAGTTGCGTGTTGAGTCCCTTACGCTATACTCTTTATGTGCATGACTGCATTCCCACTCACGCTAGTAATACTATTGCTAAATTTGCAGATGATACAACAGTGGTGGGACTTATCTCCGGGGAGGGGATGAGTCTGCCTACCGAGATGAGGTGGACTGGTGTGGAGACAACTTGGTCCTCAACACCAGTAAGACCAAGGAGCTTGTAGTGGATTATAGAAGGAACAGATCAGACATCCAGCCCTTGCTTATCAATGGAGACCAAGTGGAGCAAGTGGCAAGTTTTAAGTTTCTGGGTGTTACCCTAAAAGAGGACCTGAGTCAAAGAGGCTGAGTCAAAGCCATTTATTTATCTTGAGTGGCCATAGATCGAAACAATAAAAAAATACCAATAGCCCGGTGAGAATAATTTATTACAAAATATATCAACTTCATATCAATTCTTTATATTAAGTAGTTCTATAACTGTAAGATTCCTTCTCAAGTTCAGAGAGGCAAAGATAGAAAGATCAAACACCATACACAGAAGAATTTTTTTTTTGAACAGCCTGCTTTTTGACAAGAGAAAGCAGTTCATTATCCTTGCCAGAGTCCCATGTGCGGAGCTGAGAAAAATGGATGGCAATGCCTCTCCTGTCTGTCTCTGACCAGTTCTGAAAAATGTAGCAATGAAAAATATGGCCCTGAAAGCAGAACAAGCAGCTTGATGCTATGACATTTGCTCATAATAAGCCAACCTAAGCAGATAAAAGTGCATGCAGTTACTTCATAACTCCTTCGAGCAGCAGTTTTGTGTGTAGAAAAATATCTTGTATTTTTCCACATGAAGGGAGAGGGGTGGGGAATTATGGCCCTTTTATGACCAGGGTACCACCTCCCAGAATTCCTGAGCCAGCATGGCTGACTCAGGAATTCCTGGAGTTGAAGTCCACAAGTCATAAAGGGGCTCTCCACCTCTGCTCTAGTATAAAAAACATCTGTTTCATGGTATATTAGTTTTTTATTTCTTGTTCCTAATCTCCTTTTTAAAATCCCTATGTTATATAGCAATGATTCTCAACCTTGGCAACTTTAGGATAGGTGGATCCTAGAGTTAAAATGGGTGGCAATCTTCAGCTTGACTGGCTGGGGAATTCTGGGAGCTGAAGTCAACCCATGTTAAAGTTGACAAGATTGAGAGGCATTGTTATAGAGCAGGGGTACCAAATTCGGTTTCACTGAGGGTCACATCAGGGTTGTGTTTGATCTTGGAGGGCCAGGTGTGTGTGTGGGGGGGGCATGGCCAGGATGGTCATGGTCATGGTGGGCATGGCCAGAGTAGGCATAGACATGGTGGGTGTGACATGGGACTGCACCTCCGCACACACTTTTTATACTATTATAAAAAGAGAGGCATTTATTTCTGTGATTTTGTTTTTTTAATACATACTTGATCTACTTGATCACCCTATGAGATACCACATCAAGAAACTGACTCCATAGGAAGCACTCTGGCAGCCAAAACGGGGCACGGAGGAGCCATGCGCAGGGGTCCCGTACTGGGCCTGGACAGGCTCCAGCAGCATTCTGGCAGCCAAAATGGCGCCCTGCCCCCCATTTTGGTAGCAGAGGCACCATGGGCTGGTTCTTTGCTATTTCCAAGCTGGTCCCACGGGCCAGATCTAAGCAACCCACAGGTTGGATGCAGCTCGCGGGCCTTGAGTTTAACACCCCTGTTATAGAGGGAAGAGAATCCAGAAGCTGCTAAATAGAATTTTCACTAACTCTAACTGTAGTTTAAGTAGTTCTAGAGGATCGCAAGTGACTTTTCTCTGTTCTGTCGGTAATTCATGGCTTTTTGTACTTAATTCAACAGCTGAAATTTGGAAGATCCATTCATGATTATGAAACAAAAAGTACACAGAAGCAGCTTTTGATTTCACAATATTTGTGGAAGTAAAGAATCTGAGACTAAATGGGAGCCTGTAGTTGCTACTTTAGGTACAGTTTATGTACATTCAGTGGGATGCTGTCAGTGTAACAACTGGTTCGCTAATCGCGAACAAGTCTTGGAAGCTCAAAAGCTTGCAAACTATTTTGTGTACATTGAAGATTGCTTTAATATAACAAGGGTATTTTCAAGTGCATTTTTATATGTTTCAATTAACATCATTTGTCCAAGGAAATATCTTTGCCTAAATTGGAATCTTTAGAGATTTTCATGCTGTCTGCTTCAGTTAGCTCTTGGAACCCAGAGTTGCTTTTTCTTCATCTACGGAGGGACAATCAGGATTGTTCTGTCCCCGTATTGCCAAGAATGAATATCTCAGCCCTCCTGCCATGCTAGAGAAGGAAAGAAAAAAATAGACACAATAATAAAACCATGAACTCCCTTGAGACTATGACATGCTTTCAAAACTCCCTTACCTGATATTGAGTCCAATGAAGTTCAACGTATTAAACATGTAATCTCCACCAAACAGCATGCCAATATAAGCAACAGACACATTCTATAAAGAAAAAGCAGTTCTGTAATTGCTGTAAAGGATAAGCTATAAAGCACGATTAGCATGAATACACCCACTGACTCCTTTCTCTTGAAGGCCTTAATAGCAATTCTTCGTTTCTTTACTGTTCATGTCTGAACCTAGAATAAACACAAAACACAGCTATGGTATATTTCAATGCTTTGCTATAGGTGAAAGCAGACTATCCTGCATCTGGGGAAACACACTTGTAAACAAGCAATAGGCACAGTAGGTGAATTGGTAAGGAAAGGGGCAGTAGATACATTGCTACCAACCAAGCCATACCATTTCATGCAAATCTTATTGCAGTATTCTAATGCCTTTAGACAAAGTAGAAGGTAAGAACTATGAAAAAAAACAATCCTGATCTTGCATGACTTCATGGGTAGAGGAAGATGGAAAATCTACTATACTGTTCTGTACTGAGCCCTCTTTAGTCATTTATCTGAATATCTGAGAACTTGAAGGTAAATAAGAAACTAGGTCAAGGACAGGACCAGGCAAGCAACCTAACCTCTGGGTATAGAGCCAAGAGGCTCATATTTCTTTGAATGCAAATATATCTCACTGTTTGATCCATATTATCTATCTAGTTTCAAATCCCTATGTCTTGAAGTAGGGTCTAATCTCATCACTTGATAAAAATGACTCTGCAGGTAACATTAAGCTGAATATAATTGGATAAATTATTCCTTGCCTTTTTAGAAACCTAAGGAACTTCACATTTTTATATGTCCCCAGTACTTGTGATAGGGAACATTCTACAAAACTGCCACCAAGACATTCATAGTTTCATACACATAGTCATAGGTTAAAACTGTAGTCAAGACACAGGACTATCTTTTGCAGGTGGTTTTAATGGTGCTGGGCTCACACATTACATGTGTACTTCTTAACTATGGTTTATACTTAATTTATAGTTATAGGTTAACACTCAGCAACCTAGTTCAGACCTAATGCCAAATTATAGACCTTGCTATACAACCCATAATAACTGGATTCATACATTATGCTAAAGCCAAAACAAACAATCTAGATTGACAGTGTAGTGTAATGTGTGCATTTAGCCCTTGTTACCTAATATCAACTTCTTTTGGTTACTTACTTTTATAGCACCAACTACTGCAGTTGTTAGAGCCGAATTATAATGGCTGCAAAGAACTGTAGAATACATCAGAAGAAACCTAGCATTAAAAGCAAAAAAGGACTGCATAACTTGGTTTCCTGCTTTTTGTCAAATAAACATATTACATATGCTATAATTCTACACTGATTTACTCAGTACCCTACTTTATGTTGAGTTTCCATATTTAAAATAGCTTAAGCATAATTTAAAATCTGCTGCATTTGAAAATCTAATACAAAACTAGGCAAACTAAAACCGAGCTTCTACTGACTCAATCGTTTTTATATGGCATCAAGTATCCTCTGGAAACTTATCACCTGATTTGTAGGGTTTAAACGTGCAACATTATCAAGGGTCTCCTGCTCTAATTTCATTGGTGTGGCTAATGAAAATGTCCCAAAGCAAGCTATACTGAAAAAGAATCAGAAAGCATGTGGAATTTATTTTTGCTCTTTAATAAAAAAAGACAGTTCTTAAAATGTTGTGCAGCATGCTACAAAAGCTGAACTTTGAGAACACTGCATGAATCAATTGGATCTCTCTCTTTTTAGCTTATCTTACTTTGCTAATTATGCAGAAGGATTGCCAGGATGCAAACTCATGTCAGTCATTACATGATTATTTGCCCAAGATCCCTTACCCCAGCACACAAGAAAGAAGAAACTGAAAGATAAATAAAACATTTGTCCAATGCTGGAAATTCGTGGCCTGTACAAATAAAAAAGATAAGATTTTAGATATATTTAGAGAGAAAAAAATTACAATTATTTATTGAAAAGTCCAATTCATGAACATAATTGAATTTAAGAAAAAAAAATCTGCTTGATCTTTAGAAACCACACCAAGTGTTGTTCTGTTGGCTTCCAATGGGATGGCACTGCTTCATATTACATATTTCCTTTCTTTGTAAAACACTAATTATTGATTTTGAGGGTTTGTCTTTCTCTTTTTCTCTCTTTTTCTATGAATTGCCAAAACGCATGCATGCAGATTCCCTCAGCTTTCACAAGTAGCCATAAAGAGCATATGACATTGGAAGGATTAGGTAATGTCCAACAATGTTAGTTTAGCTAAGAAAAAGAAAGTATCGATCTTCCCTCCAAGAGCTCTCCATGCAACCTACTGGCCCAACTCCCAAATGGTTGGTAGCCATTGAATGGTAGCCATGTAATGTTTGAAGGAGCCAATTTGGTATAGTGTTAAGGTATCAGGCTAGAATCCAGGAGATTGAGTTCTAGTTCCACTTTGGATCAGTCACTTTCTATCATGTTAAAAAGTGATAGAAAGATAGATAGCAGTGGCAAAGTGGTTAAAATGCAGTACTGCAGGCTACTTTTGCTGATTGCCGGCTGCTTGCAATTTGGCAGTTCGAATCTCACCGGCTCAAGATTGACTCAGCTTTCCATCCTTCTGAGGTTGGTAAAATGAGGACCCAGATTATTTGGGGCAATATGCTGACTTGTAAACCACTGACAGAGTGCTGTGAAAACACTCTGAAACAGTATATAAGTCTAGGTACTATTGCTATTGCTAATCTCCTGTTCAGTTCCTAACTCACCAGAATGAGGTTTCATCTCTTATACTTACTTGTAATGTTATAAAATCAATCACCTCATAGAGGATAAAATCCTACATTTTTACTTCATGAGCAAAAGGATCCCAATGATCATTCCAGAAATATATATTTAGGACCCAAATCAATTAAAGCAATATTGTACCTGATTGGTTCTTAAGCTCTATTTACCTGCTGGAAATCCCCAGTGAAAAAACTGATGAGAACTGTAGGAATTACCATAAAGTAGGCATTATAAAAAATTACTCCATATCTTCCCAGCTCCTGTATAAACAAATACATATGTTTTTAAAAATCTGATAGATGATTACTTAAGAGTTCCTGAAGGATTCAATACTGAGATATTTATTGTAGCATATATGGAAGCGAGTAAATTAAATGAATCTTGAAGATTCTGTTTGAAAGGCATGTAAGCCAGGATAATGTAAACTGTTTATCAGAAAAGTTTTTAATGTGGGAAATTTTGGGGAGAATAATAGGATGGTAATGACTGAACTAATTATCCCTAACTAAAACAGAAGAACCAATAGCATGTATCTTCCCATATAAATGTCTAGTCAAGTGGAAGCAATATATATGGCTAGAAATATGAGGTATAACTATCAGAATAGCAATTGGCTTAAACCAGGGTTGAAAAATCTTTTTCAAACCAATTATGACATTTAGTTGGCAATCACATTCTAGAAGTTGGCTCAGGCAGGACAAAACTTGGTCAAATTTGCATTCAAATTCAGTTCAAATTACATTAATTAAATATAATTTCAAGAATTAAATACTTGAGTGCATTTACTATTTTTCCCCTTTAAAATGTCAATTTGTCAACTTTTTAAAGCCCTGAAATCATAGCTTACGTATTCCTTGCTTACGTGAAGCTCAGCAATCAGCTACAGAACGATTTTTTAAAGTTAACCAAATAGCAGTATTTAAGATATAAAAGTTGGATGAAACTTTCACAAAGATATTACAGTAAAATATTTAGGACCTTATGAAAAGACACTTATAAAAACTGGTCTGCAAATACTTAAAAAAAAGATATTTCAATACTTCAGGCTTTTTATGATATCAAGAAAACTATACAACATCTAAATTTTACATTGACTTTCACATCTATTTTTCCAGACTTGATGGTGGCTCTTTATGAAAACTATACATAAAATGTTTAAAAAGTGCAAAGAAGAACAGATAAAATATCTGCACAATTTACCTGAGGGTCAATTTTTTGTTTGGTATAAACACCATTTGCTGCTGTGAAGACATCATTGAGCAAAACAGAAACATAACCTTCCAAGCTGAAAGCTAAATCTGATCTGGAAAATAAAATATGGAAATATAGACTAATTTAAACAGCATAAATTTAAACAACAGTTTTCTTTGCAGAGATGTATTCTGTTTGGTCTCCAAATTGTATCCATATTACAAACAAGAGATAAATTGTAAAGAAAGAACTCTGGAAAAAAAATCAGTCTAGTCTTGTTTGTAAAGTAAATGTTGAGAAAATTCGAAGCTTAGATAAATGTCACTTGGTCATTTTGTAAAATGTATTACGTATAAGTTGGTTTGCCATTTAAAGCAGATAGAGTTTAAGCAAACAACAATTACACCAATAGTAAAATATTTGATGGGCATATTGAAATTGGGATAAGACATTGGATAGACTTAACAGAGAAGGAATTTCCATAAAACCTTACTATATGAGCACAAACCACACACATCAAGAAATAATATTATAGCCTTCTAATATATAACAATAACAATAGCATTTAGGCTTATATGTCGTTCCACAGTGCTTTCTAGCATTGTCTGGTTTACAATGTAAGCATTATTTGCATATTGACCCCAACAATCTAGCTCCTCATTTTACCAACCTTAAAGGCTGAATCAACCTTGAGCCCCATCAAACTCCAGGCTGTGGGCAGTTTGCCTGCAGTAGAGCACTTTAACCACTGTGGCACACCAGGGCTATGTTTCACATTCAATTACTTTGAAAATATATTTGTTTTGTTTGGCAGGAAAGTACTAGAAACTGCAGTTCTCCCAGGCCCTGTTATTACTACTCCCCAATCTACTAGGACACTTTTATCATACTCTATAAAGCATGATTTACTGTGAGATCTTCAGTATAATTAACTATGGACTCGGGCCACTGTGATTCTAATGATTAGTTACTCCATCATCCTTCCTCTGTAAGTGACAGACTAGAATAATTTCTCCAGCTGAAATTATTCCAAATTCTGAACTCCTGTGCAAGGGTCACATCAATTCATTTTGGATCATCTTTGTTGAAGAAACGTCAATGGCAGGTTAGTTCTCGTGGTTTGCAGCACAGTCAAGATCATCTGCAAATGATTTCCAGATCACTGTCATTGTTGATCTAGCACACCTTTATCCATTTTATAGTTCTCTGAAACTGCTATGATTACATCTCCCGGAACTCCCAGCCAATTGGCCAAGCTAGATGGGAATTCTGGGAATTAAAATGCCACCTATTTTTAGGACACTAGGTTGGGGAAGGCTGCTACAGAAAACTTCAGTGTACAAATATTTTACCGTATCTATTAATTCTTCCAAACAATGACCAACAAAGGAATGTTATTTTTCACCAATGTTAAGAAACAAGAATGGAATTCTAAAGGAAACTTTAAAATCTTACCCTGCTGCTATTAAGGCCCCCAAAATGATTGCAAACACACTGATTATAATGCCCAGGGGAAAGCGTTTCCTGTAAAAAATAAATGATATCAGAAAGAGTTTGGCACAATTCATTCCAAAAAGGGAATTATTAAGAAAGGACTAGATAGTACAGAACTAGATGGCCCAATCTGATATATAACTCCCCATAAATCCTACAACTGCTTATAAATCCAGCCTCATTCAGTAACTAATTGCTCAATCAAAGTCAGTGTTCCCTTTTATAATTTCCTAGAGATTAAGTAACACAGGTAGTGACCACAATTGAGTCCAGAATTTATGTTGCTAAATGAGAAATTTGTTAAGTGAGTTTTGTCCCATTTTATGACTTTTCTTGCCACACCTATTAAGTGAATCATTGCAGTTGTTAAATTAGTAACATGGCTCTTAAGTGTATCTGGCTTCCCCATTGACGTTGCTTGTCAGAAGGTCACAAATGGTGCTCACATGACCCTGGGACACTGCAACCGTCATAAATATGCACCAGTTATCAAGCATCCAAATGTAAATCATGTGGCCATGGGGCTGCTGCAACAGTTGTGTGAAAAATTGTCGTAAGTCCCTTTTTTCAGTCCCATTGTAACTTTGAACTGTCACTAAACAAACTGTTGTTAAGTTGAGGACTGCCTGCAAAGTGGAACAACTTACTCCACAAATGCTGTCAAATTCTAAGAAGGGAAAAATATTGAGTTCAATAGAACTGATTCCCAGGAACTGAAACAAAAACTGAGTTACTCAGAGACAGCAGGCAATAGATCATGCAACATAGTAATAATATTTGTACATTCTTGGGAGGGTAAACTGTTTTAATATTTTGAGGCCTGTTTATAGGTCAACAGAATATCCATATAGTTACAGGGAAAGTACTGGAGTTTCTAAAATGCAGGACGAAAAAAAAGATAGAAGAGGAAGACAAGGAAGACCTTGTGTTCAAAAGAAGGAAGAGGAGCAGCTGCAGGATTACTAGATATTCCCTTCAGAAATATAATAGAAAACTCTTTGCTGTCCTCTAGGGCAGTGGCCCCCAACCTTTTTTGTGCCATGCCCCGGTACCGGCATCACAAAATGATCCGCGGCCCGGTACCGGCATCAGCACGCATGACAAGGCAAGGCGAGCCGAGCGACCGGCCAGCCAGCCGTCCCCCGCTTCTCCCCGCCACCTTCAACTCCTCCTTTGTACCTTTTTTGTGCTTTTTTGTGCTTTCTTAATCTCCTCCGCCATCGGGACGGCTCTTCATTCGAAGCCGCCCCCCCTTCGATGAAACTAAGGCGCGAGGATTCCTTCAGGACCCAAACGCCGCTTTCCAACCGGAAAAGCTCACCCGGAAGCACTTTCTCGTCAAAACAAGATGGCGGTGCCCAGCAAACCGGCGGCCCGTTAGAAAATGATCCATGGACCGGTACCGGTCCAGGGCCCGGTGGTTGGGGACCCCTGCTCTAGGGATCATCTGAATTTTGGCAATCTAGAACTGGTAGGATGAGGACAGGAAAGAGACAAGTTAGCTAAAGAGAAGGAGAAAAAAGAAGGTAGCCAAACAGAAATCAGGAAAATGGTGTCTTAGAAGAAAAGGCAAAAAGAAGAGCTAAGAAAAAGATTAGGCTTGACCAAAATATCACACTACAGGGGAAGAAAGGCACAAAGGAGAACAGCTGCCTTGAACTGAAGCTACAACTCAAATCTTTGACTCCAGATTTCTGTTACTCATCGACTGGAAAATTATTTGCCCAAATAATTTTAAGCAGTTCAAAATGTCTCCTCGAATTCTTATTAGTCAACAAAATACATTGGATCATTATGTGACTCGATAAACCATTGTGGTATTTAAGAAATGAGAGGCAAATACTCACCCAAGAATAATAATTTCCAGCAGTAATGTAAGAGGAATGGTAAACTTCCTCAGGACTGTAAACATTGGCAAACTGTATTAAAAGAGACAGACAGACAGACAGACAGACAGAGAGAGTATCTGTGTGTGTGAGACCAGTTCGTGTCAGTAGCAAACGCCTTCATGACTGATTATCTATCTTTACTACATTCATCCTCAGCTTCATCTGACATTCAGAATGCATCTAAATTAATGCTCAGTTGCGAAGCCAAATGTCAGTCTGACACCAAAGAAAGTTTAGACGGTAGAATAATTGGAAGTAAGAATTAAAAAATAGAAAATAAACTTGGCATCAGTATCATACAATTTGTTTCCAGTAATTTCTTTTTAACTGAATTAAAATTAGTTCTCAAGTAGTCAGTGATATGGTATTTTCCATGAATAGCTTTTCCATGGTATTTTCCATGAATAGCTATCTAAATGCTGAGAATTGAGGCAGCTATGGAAAAGATTTTGGTGAGCCAAGTCAGAAACTAATAGTCTCTTTTTTAACATGGATTGGAAGCCCCCTTGCTGAGAGGGATTCCTACATGATCACTAAGGTGGAGCTGCATAACCCTTTCCATATTAATACAGAAGAATGTCCTAATATTACTGTATTAGATTAACAGATAATTAGAAATCCATAGGGTGCAAATTCCAAATACCGTATATACTCGAGTATAAGTCGACCCGAATATAAGCCGAGGGTGGGAAATGCAGCAGCTACTGGTAAATTTCAAAAATAAAAATAATTAATTTGGGAAACGATCTCACTATCATGAAAGGTTTAATTGATTCACTAACCCAAAAGAAGAAGATGATGACAGCGGGAGGCAGGAGTCACTCTCTTCCCCTCCCTCGGAGGCCCCCTGAGTCAGGAGTCACTACCGCCGGCGCGGCCCCAGTCCCGCCGCCTCGGGAAGGGAAAGGCAAAGCGCTTTT